GGATTCTCAGTGAAAGTTGGCACCTTTATCTTTCTTTCCGCAGTTGTTCCATATAGCTGCTTCTGACAAATAAACAAACCAGGACTACCTATTAATATATATTCTAAAGAGATCATAGTCTGTACTTTTGGCATCACGCCACCGAAAGCTATAAGTAACTATTTAAACAAATGACCGCCAGTCCATGTGTCACGCCCCAAAATATATTGACTCCTTACATGTTCATTATTTGTACATTAGTCTGCAACGAGTGATTGCGTCGAGCCGGCATCGTGTCCCCAGAGCTAATTTTTCAATTAGAAATATGGGCTCCCCGGCCCCTTGTGCCCATTTACTCATCAACATTTAGATTACGTCGTGCAGTTTCCGGTAGGGGGTGAGTTTATCAAAACACGCGTGTCGCTGTCACTATTGACCACTATGCACAGCCGCCAGACGGGAAAGACGTCTGCTTCACAAGTTGAACATGTCCCTTTTACAAGACCAACATGTCTTTTGATAGGGAAACTACTGTTGGTTTTACATTGACTTTGTGGCTCTGTGGAACAAATCGGAAGTGGAGCTCCAATTTGCCCGTTTTGAAACTTATCAGCTGGGAGACAGACAACGCCTGACCACTGGATTACCAATTAAGGTGTAATTTAAGAAGGATGTCATCGCTATGATTAACCCAAATGGAACCGCCTCGCTCTATTGTCTTCTTTGTAACAGTTAAAAAGCCATCGCTTATCATGGGCTGTTTGAAAGGTCTTTGTTAGTGTTATCCTGTTGACTAGCTGTACTGCTAATTGGTTGTAGTTTCAATACCAGTGCTATTATCATTATTATCCGACAAGCAGAAGATGGCACAATAAATGGATTTGACGATCGATAAAGATAGAAAGTAATTAACAATTTACAGGACTTTCAAATAAAAATGTTTACTTTGTTTCCAGTCGTCATGACACCCATGGCCACGTTTTCTAGCAATATCATAACTTACTAACCCTTACAGTTCCGTAAATAATACAATGATTTTGTCCTTTATTTCAGACGATGGCTCGTATTAGCCATGTAGTGTTACTGCTGTGTGTGTTCCATACCGTCCGTGCTGCTCTGCCCAGTGAATGTGTGGACGCCTGTACGATATGCAGTCGGACCTTCTCCCAGCCAGGCAGATACTTCCACCCCATGAGGTGTTCCATGGGGTACGTTAAAGATTTGATGTCATCCTCCTTTCGACAGAAATATGACTTATAATGTAACTGCAAAATAGGCCTTCAAGTTGCATAATAAAACGTTTCAGAACATTGCCCTCGCCATGCATGTTGTTATCTAGGTATGTTCCTAACTGCGTGACTTACCTGGCCCACTGTTTTTCAGGTGTGCAGAGGATCTGAAGAAGGGTTACACGGACACCACGGAGTGGGTGTTGTGCCGTGAGACCATGCGGGAGTACGGCTTGTGGACTTACAGATGAGCACCGAGGTTTCAGCACCGAGGACAGGACCAATGCAACCCTTTCTTATTTCCTTCAAAATTATATCCGGACACTATGTTAAACACAGTGAATATGTTACCGAATACTCGGTGTAATCAGCTCATTTGTTCTTATTTGATGACGCTGTAATCCGAGTACATGAAACGAAACCACCTTATCTTGTGTAGCACCTTATATGCGACAGTGATATAATGTATTTTGTTTCTGTACAACGAGCACTTTAACCGGAAACATGCGAATTGAAGTACGTTCAACTGAAACTGGTATACGTGAAAGATGTGGTAAGAACTGGACGCTTCTTTGTGCCTATGATGTCGGCTTCTGAATACAAACCGTTATGTTCCCAGGTTGTTAACGCACTGTGCAGGGACGCGTTTCAGCCGTGCTTTGCACATACAGTGGATAAATACGTAGTAGTAAGCTTTTTGTACCGCCATACTAAAGCGCCACCTTGTGATAAAAAAGTTCATGACACATGCTTCTCTCAAAGTGAGAAAATGTTTAAAACTACGTCTTGTAGGCAAATATTATTCAAATGCTCAAAAACACACCTTCCACTGCATATCCGTCTATCCAGTGCCCAGTCCTCATTGAATCCCAATAAATATGTGATGAAATTATAGGATGAGCAAGGCCACGAAGTAGACATTGTGTGCTTTGTCAATTTCAATCACATAATCAGTATGCCATGTCACCAGATGTTTCCAAAGTAGGTCAAATGTTTATTTATGTACACTTGAGGAAACATAGGTGTATGTAAAATTAATACAGCTTTGTGCATTACTTTAGTGAGATGCTAGTTTGGTCTGTAAATGGGAATTATTTTTGGACCTACTGTCATGCTTACAATTACACACTAAATTCAACACACCACGTTCCAGACATAACCACTAAAAAGGTGACACAAGATCTTGATATGGGCTCCCATCTGGGCAGAATAAATAGGGATTTGATTGGAGGGGGCAGTAGCCTGGATACAAGCCCAATTTTCAGTCATCCAGCAAGTGATCATGGCAGCTGTTTTCACACAGGGCCGGTGCCAGGTTATGTATTAAGAACATAGTAGACCAGCCAAGCTTGTTGCTATAATCCTCTCAGTTGAGAGTTTTAATTAAGTTGGTTTATTCTGTCCTGACTGGGAAGGGGCACTGCTGAGGTCACCAAAGGATGCTGTTGCTGACCCTCTCTTGGCTGGTTTGGGCTGAGAAAATAAACAGGAGAAAAAGTCAAGTCAACATCCGGAGCAAACTTTAATTGAACTTTCATGCTGGTACTGTAACTGCAGAAATCTTCGCAGGAGGGAACATGAGGTTTTCACAGTGTCTGAAGTTCGTATTTTACAAATTTCTGCAGTACAGTACGCATACAAAAACACATATATTCATATTCGCAGTAAGGTCATTACGAAAAACTAAGAACCACTGCAACAGTTTCTGACAGTACTGTACCCACAATCCCAGGCAATTTGATATATACTGAACATCAGAAGTACTTATGAACAGTATGTGAACATGGGGCATTGGGAGAGATGTAGCTCTTTACTTACAAGTTGCAAGGCTAGTTCAACATGTCCAAACCTGTGACTTGTGGGGCTTCCAACCAATCATGTAGAGCAGCTGGAAGGTTGCTGGAACAGTGCCATCTTCATTTCCATACATATCTGTAACATAAAACACACAAGGAGATTTGTCTTGTAACAGTAGTATCTGGTGGATTGAATGGCATGCTTTATTTACACTGTAGCAATAGGAGCACAATGAACCCAATGTACATTGCTGCAAAAACTTTTCATAACTGAAAAGATTAGAAGAAGAAAAAAAGAGCTTGCAGTATACATGTACATTGTACTAGTATCATGCCTGTAACACACATGCATATTTGTGGTACAGAACAATACCATGCCTGAGTTCACTGAGGAAACTTGCTTGCAATGCTCTACTATTGGCCCTGCCCCTGAGAAATTGCCAAAATCCAGAGTACATCCCACCTTTATACACGGCAGCAGCAGCCAGCATGGTGTCTCTATGGAGAATGGGTTTCCTGGCCCATGATGCATTGCTCTCTCCCATGCCCTGCAGGTCGGCCATGAGTTCATACATGGAGGGGAAGTTCACTGTCAGCTCATCCGTGTCCTGTGATTGGGTGACAATGGATATCGCTGTTGAGGCCACATCATTTGAAAGTAAAAATTAAGTGAGAAGGAAAAAAGGCTAAGAGGAAAATGTACAGACTTTCTCCTCCTTTTATTTCATGTTGACCAGTTCAGCACTATTTTCAAACTACTGGTAGCTAATCATTTTTAATTTGAGGATATATGATAGTATGATAGTAGAAAAGGATGAACTGCCATGAAAACAGATTTCAGGGAAATACAATCTCCCTTACCATAGTCAGCATGGTGTAGCCCGCCCGAGTTAACAGGTTCCCCAGGTCTCGTACGTCTGTGAACGGGGAGACATGTGGAGCAAAGCCCTGCAGAGGAACATGAAAGAACTCTGTGTTACTGTGACTGATGTAAGATTGACAGGCTGTTTTTGCAGCGTGATGGGTCATATAATCCCGCTAGAGCTCAGTACTGCTAACATGCCTTTGTACATGTACATACTACTACTACATAGTGTTATTTTCTTGTAAATAGAGTAGCTGATTCCTTAATGGAATAGGTTGTTTACAGCTGGAAAGTCGGGAATAATGCACATATGCTCCAAACATAGTTTGATTGTGGTACTAAAGATTCTCCTCATTACCAATTCTCATTAGAAATCCTCAGTAACGAGCCTGCAGTAACCCAAAGGCCATTCACACCTCAAGAAATAACAGGGTCATTTCAAAAGCCTTCAAAACAGCTTGGACCTTGAAAGGCTGCTAGGAGTTATGAATTGCCTTCCTAGGACCATCCAAAAGGAATAAGTTACACAAAGGAAGGATATGGAATTTAGATTTCTGAAAATTGATTTTCTTCATCTCTTCCTTAACCCCACATCTTCCTGACACATTAGAAGTGATGAGTTGCATCTGCATACCCCTTCTCTCTCTGTCTCAGCCAGTTGTAGGGAACATCTGAGTTCAAACAGTGTGTCTCCTCCAAACATGACACCAATAAAGCAACCGTCAGGCTTCAGGGCACTCCACACCTGATGGGGAAAGGATTTATTGTATCACTAACGGTAGAGGTATATGCGCATTCTGGTGTGTCTGAATCCACAGGCTAGGCCTTAGTACCAGTAACGGCCTTTGGTTCTGATTGGGTAGCCTAACTGCTAGCCTTATCTGCATGTCATTACACAGAGAACATTTTACATTTGACACATATAATCAAAATCATTAGTAAATCAAAAGATATTAGGGAGGAAGAGAGTAATTTCAAAGCTGAATCATTGACTTTATTATTTAGAAAACCGAATAGCACCAATAGTAAAAACTGTGAGCAATTATATTACTGGTGCTGAATTTCCTGTTAATCAAGAAATATTTGAATTATTGAAGAGTCACTGTCATCAGATTTAACAAGAAAGACACACGCATCATGCAAACAAGGAGTGAAGTACTTGGGGCTGATTAGCCATATGACATTTTCCTAATGATGTAGCCACATGTGACATGAGTGAAAATTGTTCCCTGAAAGGCAACTCAAGTCAAGAGGCTGCGGGGGGAAATGGGTCCAGCTGCATGGTTTCAAACTGCAATCATCCTAATGAGATTGCAGTAAGAAACCATATATTCATGATTAGCCTCAGGACCTCTGCTTCTCACGTTTGAATGACGTTCATCAAAATCTGAAACTGAGTGTCCTGTTTCCTGACTCCCATCTCCAGTCAACAGGAAGTGCTGAGAAGAACCCTACAGCTTCTTACCTGTCGCAGACAGCCTGGCAGGTCGTTGACCCAGTGTAAGCTGGAACCAGAAGACAACAGTCATGTTAGTATGCTGCACTGACTGTCAGTTGTGTGATGCAAGGGGAGACTGCAGTACCAAGGGCGAGTACTGTGGAACAGTCTTGCTGCTCATCAGTGGCAACTGACATCAACGTCACCATTTAAAAACAGACTGTACATGTAGATGACTGCAGACTGATTGAACTAAATGTGCATACTAGTATACTGTGACCACTTTGTACATGTTTGTAACATTATTTGTATATCATTGTGTTGTAGTTTTTATGAATATATTTGTCCGGGGATATCTAAAAAACAGATCCACGGATCTGAGATATACCCTGGTAAAATGAATAAACTTGATAATTTAACAGTATCTTTAACAGTTATACATGTATAACCATGCACATAACGGTCAATACATAGTTTGAGTGTTGAAGAGTTTATCAATCCTGCTTCTAGGTCAAAATGTTGGGTTTCAAAATCCCAGCCTGAGATACCATCAAGCATCAGAAGAAATCCACCATTCCTGCCAAGTCTTAAAAGTGATAGTATGCCCTGTGTCTGTCATGATTTAAGCAAGTTCTTCATATAGCCTGCAATTACCAATTCTACTGTGCTAATTTCTATTCCAGTGTACCATGTGTGTGATTCACCTTACCTCAGACTGCTGACCACCAGGTCCAGACTATTGTCTCTACACGGAAGAAACTCCTCATCTGCCTGGAACGTCAAGGTTGGCACTTCTGAAGGTTGATTTCTTGCCTGCAGGAAAAATACTATCAAAGTTTTATGTGCAATAAATCATTCAATGTTACCCAAGTGAAAAGTGTAGTAGAAAGTCTGAAGGAAGTTGCAGGAAATTCTGCATACTGACTGACAACCTTCAAGATATATCCTGACTCTTACAGTTATTGATCCAAGATTGTTAGTTCATCTGTAAAAGAAGGTTTAATGTTATAGATATACTCACATGTTCCAGCATTTTTCTCCTGTATCACATTGATACAATGTTTCTACAATCTACCTGAAAAATACAAACAAAAAAGTCAATTCATAGTTATCAATGAATTGCATTATACCAGTAGATATGCACACTAGCTTTGACTGAGAGTTATAAATGATGTCATGTCTTGTAAATTAAGTTCAGCACAAACATCTGTAAAATTCCAATCACCCCACCTTATTCAGATACTTGCTGATGTAACCTTTTCCACAGCCAAGGTCAAGGGCAACAGGGAATTTTCTGGGATACAGAAACAGGATGTCATTCATCAAGCTGCATTCATCCATGTGTTATTACTAGTATCTTTCTTCATCTTGGGAAGATCTATTCATGGTTAATGTTATCCGTAATATATAACTCAGGGCAGGTAGAATTTGTGGCCAAGAAAACCAGAACAATGTTGAACACAAACCTACCTGGCAGGTCACAGATTCGATGTGTCAGACATAAGATTATTAGACAACAAGAAATCTGTTGAACAAATATGATGATGCCACTTTCTAAAGACTCAGTTATGTTTTGTTTGTACAATTGCTGGGCATCAACAGTAAGACTGAGGGTCAGCATTTTTAGCTTTTGGCCGGTACAGGATAGTGGGTAGTGGACGAAAGCTAAAAAAGCTGACGCTCAGGCTGCATCATCAGACGAGCTGGGAGCCACATTACTTACCTACTCACGTCACACACTCTGTCAGCAATTCTATAGGCAACCTGCAATGAAAAAATATTTTAGTCAAACTGTCAAGCAAATCTCAACTTGAGTATGGGGCAACGACAACAACATTTGCGGTGTTAAAATCCGATAAATGATATTGAGTCATTTCCCCTAACCACGTTACGGACTACGGTTTATACGACCCGCTCTCACCTCGTCCCTCAAATAGTCGAAGTCTTGGTGATCCGGTCGGCTGGCCGCCCAGTTCTTCTGTTTCCGTTTGGTTTTTCTGTCGAAAACATTCATGAGAGTTTCGCCCTGTCTCACGGCGTGCATCAACCGAACAGCAGTCCTCCGTTCATGAGTTTTATTCCGCATCAGCCCCGATGTGAGGTAAGTCCTAGTTCCCGGCTGTGCCGTTGTGCCATAACTCCGTCCTGAGATACACTGCTTCAAAACTCCCGCCCCTCCCCCTTCCGCCTGACCAAACCGTCCTTGGCGACACCGTATCCTGTATATCATCTGTAAAACATTCCTGGGCCGGCACAATGTCCCCATCGTTCTAGTCTTGAATATTATATGGATAAACGTTTGCTATAAAGTTTATATGTGTCAAAATCGGCGAGAAAACAAGAAAACCTCGTCCGATCACCTGGGCGCAGCCATATTGGAACAGTGCAGCATGCTGGGTAAAATGCACCTGTTGCAAGAGGAAGAGGGGTGTTGTTTTACAACACTGGTATTACAACTTACAATAAACTCATACCATAGAGATGACAAAAGAAACTTTTTAAACTCATTACCACCATTTTCAATAAGAGTTGTGCAGGTCTTGCGTGATACGGTGAAGGAAAAAAGGCAAACGACCTTATCGGTTTTACTAGAAAGACCCACAGTGAAGATCAGTGAAGAGGGGGGTTTGAAAATCGTTCTATGCAAACTTGCTTAATACTGGTAAATAAATACGGAACTGATAAACGCCTAAGTGAATAAGAAAATTCTATGTACCCATTGGTGAACGACGAGAAATTCGTGTAAGTCGTTTCATAACAACTAACAAGTTATATCAAGACATCAGAAATCAAATCCATGTAGAATTTGCGTCTGTAGCGTTGGAAGATAATAAGGCAGATTTATATGTTGAGAAGACTAAGTCAGAAATCCCTGAATGAGCCACTGTTTGTTTACTCGGGATCTGAACTTGTGTGGATGTGGTGAACGTGCCAGCTGTGTACACATGTATTGATACTAGTAATGTATGGGCGAAAAGCGTTGTGTATTAACCACAACAAGCCTTCCCACCAGGGCTACTTATTCCCCCGTCTTCACAGAAATAAGGTCAATAGATTTTTCCAGGAAAGGAAGCAGCCTATTTCCTTTAATCCATCACTCACTACATCAGCATCACGACTTAAATCGTTACATAGTCCGTTATAAAAGCTCGCTTATTGAGAGTAACCTATTCGTGTATTATATGTTATAGATAAAGAAAATCAAGGTCTATTCCATATGTGTACAGAGGACCATGGATACACTCACTCCGTTCAAGAATGCTTGTCTGTGAATCCGCGAAGAGGGACCAATAACACGACGGACAGTGGGATTTTATGTGAAATGGACCAGTTCGAAAATTGTAAGATATTTCTTTTCTATTAGTTTTCAAGCGAGTACTGTATCTCGCATAGTGAGAAACGTAAACGTCATTGTTATGTCAAATGAAGTTATGAACCAGGCTGATGACATCAGTAATCAGGGAAAATCACATGACAACCACTGAAGGTTTTTGAGTTACTTATTTGACTGAGCAAAAAGGGGTATAGATTACGATTGTAGTGCCTAGTTTATACCTTTGAAAACCTTTTTTTCTCTTGAAATTTTTGGTCCATTTTGGAGATTTTTGGGCTGGAAGGCACAGGTAGGGTCTAAACTTTCCTACATTGGTCCAGTTTTGTTTATTTCACCAGTTTAGTGGGCGTAGTGAGAGATGTGAGTGGTTAGGTCTTGTCTGGCCAGGCGGATGGATACCATGGAAAATGTAGGTCAAAGTTGAGGTTTTTTTACTATCATCAGCTGTGGCGGGAATTTGAGGTGGTCAACCCCCTGTTTCCTTTCTATTTTTGGGAATCAGACCCTTGTTGCTACCTGGTGCAGAAAAATTTTTGAGATTGGAGTATGGGCAAGTACTTTCATGAGGTGTTGAAATAGTGTATTTAAGCATGTGTTCCTATGGCAAGATCTAATAGTACTGTCTGCCCCACAGGCATCGCTGTCAGGATGGAGATTGAAACGTGCCCTCATCGTAACATTCCTACCTGCGTAACAGGAAATTGTTTTCAGGAGTTGTGACGTACAGAAAGGAAGGTTGACTAATTGAGTTGGTCGGACAGATGCGACAGGAAATTGTGGCCTTGTGACAATACAAATCTAGAGTCAGTGCGTTGAGAAGGTTATGTTCCAACATATCCGTGACTTCTACACTGATTTAGCCTCTTTGATGCCAGACATAGACATTTATATGCTGAAACATGATTGTGCTGACAATCAAGCGTTAATATCCGGGTACAGCAAGCAATTTGAGTTAAGTTGTAGACAAGGAAACATACATTGTAAATAAAACTTTGATTTACAAGCATTTCAGACCACCCGAAAGCGAGAAAACTAACAGTCCACATCCTTGGTGCTGATTTACTATCATCTCAAACAATTTATTAATGCCAACAACACTCCTGTATGTATTGTTTGTTGATATTATCATCAATAGACTTAAATGTCATTATGAAAAATAGAGCGATGGTTGAAGTGCCCTGATGTATATGGCATAAAAGAGGCCATATACATCAGGGCACTTCAACCATCGCTCAACCGGGACGGGGGGCGATATCGACTTCAGACAACCTTTGAAAGAGGCCATATACATCAGGGCACTTCAACTATCGCTCAACCGGGACGGGGGGCGATATAGACTTCAGACAACCTTTGACCCTTTGCTGACGTCACACGTGGGAAAAATCACGTGTCCACAGCATTTGGGTCAGATAGCTGAGGAAGACTGAGTGATTCAGTCGAAAATTTCTGGTGAGTCAAATTTTGAGTTGGAGAACAGTTTAAGTTTTTCATAATGTAATTTACCAACTCAGATGAACTTCCATGCAGACTTAAATGTCTTTGATATAAGGACTGTAACAGGGAGATTCAGAGCGCAATGACCTGTTACCAATCACCATCCATGTGTAAGACAGTACAAATTGCTGTATTGACGCAGGTAGGCGGTATCTGAGTGCCCTTTTCTGTTTTCCGCACGCACAGAACTCCAGCTCCAGGGCTTCTTTCAAGTGAGGTTCATTTACATGACTCACTCGTCACGACACGAAGGGATAGGATTTAATGAGACCATGTGTTTGATATAAGAGGGAAGTAACATCTTCACGGCGCCCCTGGCTCAATTATTAGCAATCACAAGTCTTATAGGAAATGTCATTGGTACCGTTACTACCACACTATTATTACTAAGAGTAATCAGAAATTCAAAATATTTGAAGTTTGAACGATATTTTAGCGTAGGTTCAAATCAAATCTTGATCAAATCTTGATTTAAAATCAACTTTGCAGATGTGTCGAATCCTCTTCAGACACAACTGAATTGCGTTGAAAATTCACAGATCAAAAGCATATTGACATTTGCATAATTAAAAAATTGCAATACAATACAATGCACATGGGCTTACTCTGCGTTTTGTAAGTCTTTCGTGGTTCTTACAACGAAAGAGTTTTTGTGTCAGTCAGTCCTACTGCGTGGAAGTTTATATTGAGTTTTTCTGTTCCTCAGATTGTACTCCGGGTTCTCTTTGGGCGGAAGAAAGGCATTACAGGGTTGGGAGTATTCCTTTCAGTTCTCTTATTGATGCCTACATGTATATCCTAAGGCACAACTTCTGTATTCTTTCCATGTACGTCGTCCAACAGACAACGTGGAAGACCGGACCAGGGGACCCACACTCTAACACAGGTCGGATGAAGGACTTGTAGATTTGCAGTAGTACTTCCGTGGGTAGGGCAGCACGCCTGGCTACGCGCAGGTAGTGTGTGCGCGGTTGAACCTTTGTTAATATGTACTCTTCATGAGGTCCCCAATTAAGGTCGCTACTGACCACAATTCCCAGAAGCTTGAAGAAGGTAACTCTTTCAACAGATTCACCTTTTAAAAATTGATACTTTCAAAACTATTAAACTAGTGTCTATAAGAAGCTGCATTGATTATAAGGCATACGAAACAAGTGAAAGAAGTACGAAAACAATCAATGTAAGGCCATATGTCTATTTACTATGTTTTTCGCAAGATTTCTATGACTGTAACAGATCTGTAACAGATCGGATGCCACATTTCACGTCATCCATACACATCCTATGTGATCACTTACGCAAAGCTTCGCCACGCCTTCCTTACGCAGTTTTATTCACCTCCGCATACATAATATAGCATATTTAGGACGCCGATCACTCATACTACCTCTCACCGGCTCGTCTCCAGCTCTAACGTTACAGGCTGTACCACGACTTCATCTCTGTCCTATCGCCACCGACTCTCTAACGGAAGGTAAGGTCGTATTTTCATATCACTTCTTGGGACTTCAATATTGACCGATCACATCAGATGATGTTCTAGTGACAGGCAGATTGATAAGAAAGGCACTTTGAGCGCTCAACAGGTGATCCTTTGATTTGTTCTTCATTACTCTCCATCAGACTGCTCTCTAAGTTGAACAGATGGTAGAGGGAAACGATATGTCTGAGGAGTGTGGTGTGCCAGAGGAGACATAGTCGGTCCTGATTCTCTCGGTGCTTTTACGTCCAATTTTTATCATCTTCTCGGCTCCGAAGGGTTCGAGTCCAGTAGAGATTATCGTTTTACACGAATGATGAGAAATTCAGGCATCTATCGAGATTTAAATTCATCTCCTTGCATCCAGAAACATGTTGATGTTTGAAGGTGGAACGTACAAGAATTCATTTGTAAAACGTCAAATCTCTTATTCAGCATCTATGCGTACTGTCTTTTGTACGTATGGATACCATATTGCATCGCTGTTGTATTTTTAATCTTTATGCCGAGTGATTTTATCACGCATATAGTAGAAAGGCCATAAATAAGATTTGGACCTCATTAGACAGTTTTGAACACCAAGCGAAGCAAAGTGCCAGAAACTATAGCCTCAAAATTACACGTTATTTTATACTGATTAACAAACCACAAGGTTGCTATTAATCCTTTGCCAAACTGCGTTTAATTGAATTACTTTATGTTAATCGTTCAACTTGAGAAACACAGATATACCTCATATCGTGTTGTAAAGTCGATCCTTTTCTCCACTTGGAATCGTAAACTAGGTCTCCCAATGTGGTTTTCTGCAAAAATGTATATTCAGGCAAGGCAACGAATTGTATTTTATCCGGAGTGTCATCGCCCGGTTTCTAATGTCGTGTGTTTAAAGGTTGACTGTAGATGTGTGGAGGTGGCGGTGTCTTTGTAGTATTTACCCCCGCTAATGTAATTCTGATTTCAACATAAAAGTGACCATAGCAACGTGTCAAAAAGGATTATTGCTAGAAGGGTGATGCTACGGACACCAATTTTTGAAAGTTGCTGAAAATTTATAACCCAAGCATTACA